GTACATAACATTAACAAAACACATAACTTTGAAAAATCTGTGTCCTAGAAAAGAAATCTGTGATTCTATTAGTAAATGCTTGGCTGGGTGTGGTGGCTCACACCCATAATCCTAGCACTTTGGGAGGCTGAGGTAGAGGGATCACTTGAGGCCAGGAGTTTGAGACCAGCCTGACCAACATGGCAAAACCCTGTCTCTACTAAAAATGGGTGTGGTGGTTGTGTACCTGTGGTCCCAGCTACTCAGGAGGCTGAGGTGGTGGATCATGAGGTCAGGAGTTTGAGACCAGCCTGGCTAACATGGTGACACCCCCATCTCTATTAGCCAGGTGTGGTGGCGGGCACCCGTAATCCCAGCTACTTAGGAGGCTGAGAATCGCTTGAACCCGGAAGGTGGAGGCTCAATGAGCCTAGATCACACCATTGCACTCCAGCCTGGGCAATAGAGCAAGACTCTGTCCCAGAAAAAAAGAAAAAAGAAAAAAAAAGAACCAGGCCTCAATGTAAAGTACATTGAATTAAAGGTTCTACAGCTGGATTTTGAGGCCTGGAAGAGACATAAACAAGACTTTGTATGGTTAGGCGGAGCAGGACTTCAACAGGTAGGAACGATCCCCAGGGTCAGGAACTACCTCCCTGCCAAATTTGTCCTGCCGCCTGTTTTTGTATGGCCCACAACCTAAGAATCTTTTTTTTTTTTTTAGGTAGAGTCTTGCTCTGTTGCTTAGGCAGGAGTGCAGTGGTGCAATCTTGGCTCACTGTAATCTCTGCCTTCCGGGTTCAAGCGATTCTCCTGCCTCAGCCTCCTGAGTGCCTGGGATTACAGGCACACACCACAATGCCCCGCTAACGTTTTTGTGTTTTTCATAGAGACGGGGTTTCACCATGTTGGCCATGCTGGTCTTGAACTCTGACCTCAAGTGATATCCACCTGCCTCAGCCTCCCAAAGTGCTGGGATTACAGGCGTCAGCCACTGTGCCCAAGCACGTTGGTATTTTTAAATAGTTGAAAAAAATGTAGGGCCAGGCACAGTGGATTATGCCTATAATCCCAGCACTTTGGAAGGCTGAGGTAGCTGAGGTGGGAGGACCCCTTGAGCCCTGGAGTTCAAGACCAGCCTGGGCAACACAGTGAGACCCTGTCTCTACAGACATTTGTTTAAAAAGTTAGCTGGGTGTGGTGGCCCACACCTGTGGTCCTATGGACTCCGGAGGCTGAGGCAGGAGGATTGCTTGAGCCCTGGAGGTAAAAGGCTGCAGTGAGCTGTGATTGCATCCCCCCCACACACTCTACCCTGAGTGACAAAGAGATCCTGTCTCAAAAAAAAAAAACAAAAATTAAAACTTTAGTGTCACAAGTCTGATTAGAACATAGCTAGGTCCATTTGTTTACATATTGTCTATGGCTGCTTTGCGCTGCTACAGAAGAGAAGCTGCAACCGAGATGACAGGGTCTGCAAAGCGTAACATTTATCATCTGCTGCAAGAAGTTTGCCCAACCCTCTACTAGAGCCAAACAGGAATCTTGGCTGGGCGCGGCGGCTCATGCCTGTAATCCCAGCACTTTGGGAGGCCATGGCAGGCGGATCATGAGGTCAGAAGATCGAGACCATCCTGGCCAACATGGTGAAACCCCGTCTCTACTAAAAATATCAAAATTAGCTGGCTGCAGTGGTGGGCACCTGTAGTTCCAGCTACCTGGGAGGCTGAGCAGGAAAATTGCTTGAACCCGGGAGGCGGAGGTTGCAGAGAGCCGAGATTGTGCCACTGCAGTCCAAACTGGTGATAGGGCAAGACTCCGTCGCAAAGAAGAAAAAAAAGAGTCTCATCTTGCAATGAAAAAGGCCAGCAGCCGAAAGCCAACAGTAGCGGGGGAGAGGAATGTAGCGATGGAGAGAGGAGGGTGACCTTGTTCCGGGGAATATGATCTCTGCCTCTCCCAACAAGAGGACAGCCTGTTAGCCTAGGGGTCACAGGGGTACAGTCTGCATCTTTTTTTTATGAGTAACCTCATCCCCTTTCCCCCAGTTTCTTTTCCTCTTCACTCAAAGTTCAGTGGAGCTATCTCGAGATTTAAGTAAAGCTCAGAAGAGCCCAGCGCACAAACATGCGGACCCAACCTGGCCTTTCGTCCCCGGCACAGGTTCTTCCCAGGCCTCTCAGCGCAGCTCTCCAGCTCGGCCTGGCAGCTTCCAGCCATCTCTGCATCTGCCCTTCAGCTGGCAGAGCTGATGCTCCCAGCTGACTGCCATGCCTCACGCAGACCTTGTTTTGGACTGACCTTGTCCATTTCCCCCTCAGACAGCCATGAAACACCCTCTTCTTGAGTTTTCCCCAGTCTCCAGGAAGCCCAAAGTCAGATTCAGGATTTGTGCTGGCTACTTTGAGGTTAAACCAAACTTTTTCTGTCTCTTGTTGACAGACAGACTTAGGTACTTTCCTGACGCCTTCTACTTCTTTTAGACGCGTCTCTGCCCTTTAAAGTTGACACCTCTTCATCACCTACCTGTTGCAAATAAACCACTTCTACGCCAATGTCCCCTCCCAGCACCAGAGATGGTAGATTTAGGGGTGTTGAGAAAAGAAAGGGTGGGAACACCAAGCCCCACCACATGTACCTCCCCAAACGATCTCTACCGTAGCGTGATTCTCCATGGTTCAAAGAGAGGAGAGGACTTCCTGGGTCAGTGTACTCTAGAGGGGAGGACGCTAACATGGAGTCTCTACTTGTAAACCTGGGGACAAGGGGAGAGTGAGGAATGAGAGGATGTGGCTGGAGAGAATCTGGAGGGAGGCTGTCCTGGCATGGGGTTCTCTCCCGCCTCACCACCCTCCTTGTCCATCTGGAGCCTCCCAGCAGGGCTCTTCTCTTACAGGTTTTCTGGGAGAAGGTGGCTAAGGGCTGAGACACTTCTGCCCTGGACAAGCCGCTGGGTTCCTATGCTCCGCTTCACACCAGAAAGGTGCAATCTGGATGAGTGGAAGGAGGAGGTTCAAACTCTTCACCAGACCACACGCTGCAGCTGCAAGCACCTGCTTACAGGGAGCCCTGGGGGTTGGGGAAGTCCAGGAGCTAAATTCAGTCCAAAGGCTGCAACTTAAATTGGGTGGGTATTTACCCTGGGGAAGCTGGAGGGGGAGGGGAGAGGAATCCTGACCCAGCTGAACTTGTGAGAGCACAGATCACCCCTAGTGTCACTGATACTGGAACCACAACCCCCTCCCCCAGCACACTCTCAGAAAGGAGGCATCCTCAGCACTTCGCAGACCTTTTGCATGCTTGATCTCTCTTGTGCATATCGTTTGTTCCTATTACCACCCCACCCTCATCTCAATTCTCTAGGGCCCAGTTCCTCTGAGTCCTTCCCTAAATGTCCCCTAGTGCACCGAACCTAGGGGCCCTCCTCACATCTGTCTGCCCTCTGGCTGCTGCTTCTGCTCTCCCAAGTCCCTCCAGAGAGTTTCAGAGGTCAGCGAAGACGTGTGTGGCCACCCTACTCCCCTCTAGGGGGCCAGGAAAAGGGGTTGCTGGAGGTCAGGTTCTCCTTCCTGAGAGCTGCCACAATGACCCCATGCTGACCTCAGTGACCAGAGGAAGGAATCCTAAGGGGCTGCACTGAGTCCCAGCTCTAACACAAGAGGGGAAAGGGGACAGACCTCCAGAGGAGAGCCCACCTCCTGAGAGGACGGCGGCTGGAGACCGAGGGGGAGCTCAGGGGCGGGCAGAAACAGAAAGGGGGTGCTGAAGCCGGGGAGCCCTGCGAGGGGCTGCGACGGCACCTCCACCTGCGATTGGTTCTCAGGCTCAGGCCAAACGCCAAACCTGCCCAGCAACAGCCCAGAGCAGAGGGAGGGGAGCTTCGGGGAAGTCAGCTGAGTCGGCGCCGCCCAGCTCCGGGCTTCCAGGAATCGCTGGGAGGGCCGCAGCCTCCACCCTACCCCTCCCTGGGTCTCAGGACTGCGCCTTCGGCCTTCTACACCTACTGGGCGGGTTCGGGTTCGGGTCCGGTTTCCCTGGCCCCCCCACCTCTGTGATTCCCTGCCGACCCCACTTTAGGCCCGGCGGAGACTCTGGGACTGGGCGTTCCTTGTAGCCCCCTTTCCTCGCTCCCTGCCCTGGGCTGACGTCAGTTTCATCTTCCTTCTCCTCCATTCCCTTTTGCCTCCTTCCCCACTTGCTCTCCTCCTAAATGTCCAAATTCTCCCTTCTCAGCCACTTTCACCTAGAGCAAGCCCGAGCCCCTAAGCAGCGGGAAGATGCTGCCGCCTCGAGCAACTCCGTCGCCCGCCGCAGGGTCCAGGTGTGCTCGGAGGGCAGCAGCCCGCGAGTTCCCGGCTTCCGCGGGCCCGTGTTCCACGGCCGTGCTCTGCGGGGCTGCTCCTGCGGGCAGCGCGGCTTCCAGGACACGGCCTCAGCCTCCGAAGGGCCGGGGTCAGGGAGTCGACGTGATGGCAAAGGCCTGCCCCCCTCCGGCCGCCTCTAGCAAGTTCTCTACCTTGTGAGAAGCGAGGGGGAGGGAGGAGGCCAGGCTGAGCCATCTCTGAGGAATGTGGCTTTGGCAGGACAACCCGTGCTGCCCGCTCCTCCCCCGCCCCGGCCGGGCTCCTCCAGGGAAGGGTTCGGGGCAGGAAGGAGAAGGAAGCCCCGGAGCGTAGGGCAATGCGGACGGCAGAAAGGGGGACAGAGGAAGGGGAAAAAGGAGCTTCGGCAAGCCAGCTGTCCTTCGCTCAGGCCCTGGTGGAAAGGAGAGACTTCCCGGCGAGGTTCGGCCCACCAAAGAGCGCACGGCTGCCGCGCTGCCCGGAGGCCCAGCGCCCCACACACCTCGGCTGGGAGCACTGGTGACCTCTAGTGGCCCATGACCAGCCTGCAGGGCCTGGGGCTGGCGGGGTTCCTCTGGCCCAAACTCTCCTCCTGGGCTGATGCTGTTCCCCTGCCCCCCCCCCCACCTTCTGCCTTCACACTGCTGAGGGGCCCGCAGCCCGACAAGGAAGAGCCCGTTTCTCATTTGTCATAACCATCTTTAATAAAAAATAAATTAGTTCTGGGTGGAAACCATTTCAGGAGGCAGGGCGTGGGGCTTGGGGCTGCGGTCACATTTCTCATGCTCACATTTCTCTTTTCCACCCTCTGCCCGGCCGGGCTTTGCTCTGGAGAGGCAGTCTCTGTCCTCCTGCCTTCCCCGGTAAGGCAGGATTGGCAGTGGCTGACCCCAGCCCTAGCTAAGCAGGGAGGCAGGGGCAGGGATACTGGGCAAACGAGAAGGGAGGGGTCAGAGACTCAGGGCGGTTTAGATGTGAGGCCTGAACGTGAGCAATGAAGCTCAGAGCACAAAACTGGAGTTGGTGGGAGACCACCCTCTAAGCAGCCCGCATTAGCAAGGAACTGCAAACTTGCTTTCCTCGCCGCCTAGGAGTCTCAGGGAAACAGGTCTTGTCCTCCTCAGTCTGTGGAACTTCTTTTTGAAAAGTGATACACGTTTGAGCACACACATATCCACGCAGTCCCCGATGCACACCTGGGGGGCGTTTGTGCACACCACCACACAGGCCCCACCACAGCCCTGAAAGCCACTGTCACCTTGCCACCCCCCATCACCTGGAGGACATTCTTGCTGAGACTGGGACAGGCTGGAGAGCCAGGGGGTTCAGAGTGGGCTGATCACTGGGTGACCGATGGTGGCATAGAAAACCATGGGGGTGCCCCGGACCCCTTTCAGGAGGGCTCCTGGGGAGACCTCTCCTGGACATGTGCGCAAGAGCGGCAACAGGTGGCTGTGTAGTAGGGGTAGACGCAGAGCCGGGCCTGTACCACCAGGGGGCAATGTGGAGAGCTGTCCTTGCATTGATCATCTGGGGACAGAGGAGGCCAGTGGGAACAAGACTGTCACCAGGACCCACCTGTCTGAAGTTGTGCTGCCCATTCCCACTGGTCCTTTCTCATCTCCTCCCATACTTCAGCTAGTCCACTCTATTGGGGGTTGGGGAGAGGGGTCTCTTTACCAGGGCGCTGGCTGCAGGGTTGGCTGTTACAGGAGCGCTTCCTGGAGGGCCTCTGGTGAGGAGGGCATCGGGTGCTGAGGGTCTGGTTGGCGCTCAGGCACTGGACCTCCCGCGTCTGCAGTCCGCCCTGGCAGGAGCGAGAACACTGGGGCGACCCCGGCTGTCCTATCAGACCTTTGCCAGGCCCGGGATGCTCCTTAACCCCCAGCTGGCACCTCCCTCCCCAAAAGCTGGTGGTGGGGACCCTTCTAGGACATTGTGAAATCACAGATGGAGAGGACCCATCTGTCCTCCAAGTCGACAAGAAATGGGACAATGGTAAAGCTTGGCTCTTATCGTGGGGCACAGAGAGACCTGGAGGGGTACAGTGAAAGGAGCACCCCTCCCTTGGGGGCCCAGGCTGAACAGGGCAGGGCAGCCAGGCACTCACCGGGCTCCAGGGTGTGGAAAACCATCGGTCCTGGCAGGCCTGCCCTTGACAGGGCTGCAGGGAAGGGGGCCTGGGCAGGTGGGAACAGTTGCTCAGAGAAGTCACGTTGAACTCCGTCCCCAGTTTGGACACACAGATGATGTCTCTCCGCTGCGTGCCGGAGCCGCATTCGGAGGAGCACTGGGTCGGGGAGGACAGGGTAAGAAGGGGAGGGGAGGACAGAGGGCGCCCCAAGTGCCCACAGGGAATCCCCTCAGGACTGGCACCCCCTTCCTGCCCTCAGCAGACGCTCAGCTCACCTCACCCCAGGGCCCTGTGTACCAGCGCCACGTCCTCTCACAGGGCCCCAGGCTGCAGGCGCGCATGTCAGGGGGGCGGCTTCCTGGTGGACAGCTCTGCTCAGTTCCTGCTCCTGCTTCACCCTGGCCCACCCCGTGGGCTGCCCCGCTCCCGAGGCAGACCACAGAGCGCCTCTGGATTCCCGTCCCACACTCGGCTGAGCACTGCGGAGGAGGAGAGGTCTGTGTGAGGGTCCTGCTGTGACAGGCACAGAGGACAGGACGGGGCGGGGGGGGCGGGAGGGACACATCCTGGGTCTGAATCTGGGTGGTAGGGAACGTCCCCGGGTACCAGGCCTGCCGGGGAGTCCTAGCCGGGCCCCTCGCGTAAGTTGGAGCTGTGCTGGAAAGGCTGAGGAGGGTGTCCTGGGCGTGGTCACCCAGGACGCAAGACTTGGCTAGGGGGTTAGGGGCTCACCTTGGAGCTCCAGTCGCTGTGGAACCAGGCCGTGGTACAGGGCCCCATGTCACAGGCCTCTCTGCTGGGGGGCTGCGGGGGGCCTGACGCACACTCCTGCTTGCTCACTTCATCACCGGTGTTCCCCACACAGCGAACCTGACGGCTTCTATGGCCCCGGCCGCAGCGCACGGAGCACTGAGCGGGCAAGGGGAATCAGGGAGCTGGGCTTCCCAGGGCTTCTCATCCAGCCTCCAGCTCTAGGGCTTCAGAACCGGGCTCTGCCTTCCATCCTCAGCCCAGCAGTCACATGGCTTCGTGGGCTGAGGAGGAGGCTGAGCCCCTGGGCCCTGGGCCCCCTATCCCTAGTTCAGTCCCTTATCTGACTCCTATATCAGGGTTCCACAGGAAACCCTGTTTGTAAATAGTTTCTGCTGATGAAAAAGTAGTTGGAAAGCCTCTGCTCTTGCTCCCCGTGCCCATTCCCCTCCCCAGCCCCTTCCTGCCCGGCGCACTGACCTGGCTCCAGGGAGAGCCAACTTCCCAATGGCCACAGAGGCGCAGCTGGCAAGACTGGGTGATGTTGGGCCGGGGGAGATGTCCACAGCGCTCTGGGGGCACCGATGAGCCACCTCCCCCAAACTCCTGCCGGCACTGTAGCTGGCGGTGCTGGGTGCCAGGGCCACAGGAGCGGCTGCAGGATGTCCACTCGCCAGCCTCCCAGCTGCAGGCACCAGCAGGGCAGGGAAGAGGAGGAGACAGATGAGATGTGTGGGGCTGCCCCGGCAGGGGGTCGCATGGGGCCTCAGAGGAGAGTGGGCACATTTGGCATTTGGAGTCTGGGTTCCTGTGGGGGCTCAGGCTGCTGTGGCTTTTTTGCTGCCTATGGAACGTCCACCTTTCTAATCTCATGTTGTCTCTCTGCAGCCAGGAGATGTCACATTGAGTGCAGAGTTCAGGTAAGATTGTGGGGGCAACCGCTGTGTTTCCAGTACCCTAACCCTCCCCGTGGGCCATACTCACTATGAGGGGCACGGGGGGGCGTGGCAAGGTTCAGGGGAGGCTGGGGGCCTGGCACTCGCAGTGCAGCTGCGTTCATCCAGTTCCTCTCCCGACTCTCGGGAGATGCAGAGGAAGATGGGGCGCCAGACACCTGCGTGGGTGAGAAGGTAGCTGGGGAGGCAGGAGGCTGGAGCCCAGGCTTAGTGGCGTCCCAGATGCAGGGTTGGGCATGGCCCCACAATCCGGGATGTGGGATCAGGAGTGTCAGGTGGGGGTTTAGCCGAGGTGCGGGGAAAGCACTTCGAGGTCTCACCTTTCCCGCAGGATGCTGAGCACGCTGAGTATCCCACTCGTTTCCAGTATGCAGCTGGAGACCCCAGGGGTGTCCTGGGATGGGGTGGGGCGGGCATCTGGGGTATCCGCACCTGACGCTGAAGGGTTCCTGGGGTACGGGCTGGGCGGGGTGCTGGAGCTAGTGGGGGCTCCACCCTCAGAATCTCTGCAGGGGAGCAGGAGAATCAGATGCCACCCCACTGCCCCGACCCTCTGCCTCCTCCTTCCGGGTGCAGAGGTCAGAGTCTTACCGGGCTGAAGCTGGGGGACAGGGGGCTCTGGGGTGGGATTCTCAAGGATTGGAGGAGGTGAAGCGATGACATACTGATAAAAAACGCCTGGGTTTTCCTCCTGAAAGATCATCTGAGAAGAGAAAATAGGAATGTTTGCGGATGGCCAGAGGGGGATGCCACCAGCTCCCTCTCCCATCTTGACACCCACAGCTCTTCCCTTAGAGGGAACGGCCTTCCTCCCCAGCATCCAGCTGCCCCCGGCCCCAGGCTCACATAGACGTCCACAGGCTGGGTGGTGGGGCCGTCAGCCGACAGACTCTCCCCTTTGCCCTCCTCCCGTGGAGGACGGTTATACTGAAATACAGTCCCACCAGCCGTGTAGGACCCAGGGGGATCCACGGCCCAGTTCCCATTGATGATGGACTGGCCCCCAGGGCCACGAAGTGCTGTAGGTCAGAAGTGAGAGGTCAGGAAATTCCAGGGCGGTAATACCTTCCTCTTCCCCCCTGCAGCCTGAGCCTATAGAAGCTCCAACGGAACCTAAGGTCTCCCCAAGCCCTCTTAGCTTCCTCACTCCCTCCACGAGGCGGGGCAGGGCCCCGGACTTCTCCGTTTGGCTTGCTCGATGTACAGAGGGCAGAACAGAGATGGGAGTGGAAGGAAGGCAGCTGGGTGCTCACCCAAGTAGTTGGAACTGGGCCGGAGCTGGGCAATCTGGAGCCGTGAGGCTCCTGCTGGAATCCACAGTATCTTCTGATAGCCCAGAGGGCCCCCTCGGTCAGTGAGGTTCCCCGAAACAAGGCGACAGGTAGAATCATCACCCCCACAGACTCCACAGCCATCAGGACGCCTGCCAGAGCCAAGGATTCCATCACAGCCGGGGCTCTGGAGAGAGTGAGGTGAGGCAGCAGCCACAGAAAGCCAGACACCACCTCAGCCCACCCCGGGCCCCTTGGGAGAGCTCACTACCCTGCTCTTTGTGCCACAGGGAGAGCACAAAAACAGCCCCACTGTCCCCAGCCAGACCCAGGGATGTGGACAGGTGCCCGATCAGATCCTTCCGGCTCTGTTCAGCCCAGCTTGGCAGGTGAGAATTCTCCCTTAGTGATCTCAGTCTGGTGTTCTGTTGCAGGATTGATGAATGAGACTGTGCAAATATGTGTGTACATATGCGTTTATGTGCATTTGTGTGTGCATCTGTGTGTCTGCATATGTGTGTGTCAGTGTGCATATGCATTTGTATCTGTGTACATATGTGTGTGCATGTGTCTGTGCATCTGCATCTGTGTGTGGACCTATGTGTGTGTATCTGCATGTGCACATCTGTGTGCATATGTGTATCTCTGTGTGTGCATATTCGTGTGTGCATGTCTGTGCATATGCATATCTCCATGTATGTGCATATGTACATGTCTGTGTGCATATGCATGTGTACATGTCTGTGCGTGTGCATGTGTAGTATCTGTGTGTGTGCGTGTGTGTGCACTTCTGTGTGCATGTGCATCTATGCATGTGCGTGTGTACATGTCTGTATATGCATGTGTGTGCATGTGTATCTATGCATGTGCATGTACATGTCTGCATAGGCATGTGTATGTGTGCATGTGTGTGCACTTGTGTCCATGTGTATCTGTGTCTGTGCATGTGCATGTCTCTGTGTGTGTGCATGTGCGTGTGTGTATGTCTGCATATGCATGTGTATCTGTGTATGCATATGCGTGTGCATGTCTGTGTAAATGTGTGTCTGCGTGTGTGCATGTCTGTGCATATGCATATCTGTGCATACATGTGTGTGCATGTCTGTGCATAGGTGGGTGTATCTGTGTCTGCATGTGTGGGTGTGCATGTCTGTGCATATGCATGTGTATCTCTGCATATGCATGTGTGCATGTCTGTGCATGTGCGTGTGCATGTCTGCATATGCATGTGTATCTGTGCATATGTGTGTGTGCATGTCTGCATATGTGGGTGTATCTGTGTGCGCATGTCTGTGCATATGTGGGTGTATCTGTGTCTGTGCATGTGTGGGTGTGCATGTCTGTGCAAATGCATGTGTATCTGTGTGTGCATGTGTGTGCATGTCTGTGTGCATATGTGGGTGTATGTGTCTGTGTGCCTGTGCGTGTGTGCGTGTCTGCATATGCATGTGTATCTGTGTGCCTATGCGTGTGTGCATGTGTGTGCATGTGGGTGTATCTGTGTCTGTGCATGTGTGGGTGTGCATGTCTGCGCAAATGCATGTGTATCTGTGTGTGCATGTGTGTGCATGTCTGTGTGCATATGTGGGTGTATCTGTGTCTGTGTGCCTGTGCGTGTGTGTCTGCATATGCATGTTTATCTGTGTGCCTATGCGTGTGTGCATGTGTGTGCATACGTGGGTGTATCTGTGCATCTGCTCATATGCATGTGTACCTGTGTGTGCATATGTGTGTGCATGTCTGTGCATATGTGGGTGTATCTGTGCATGTGTGTGTGCACATCTGTATATGCACGTGTATCTGTGTGCATATCCATGTTGAGCATGTCTGTGTGCATATGTGCGTGTATCTGTCTGCATGTGTGTGCATGTGTGCATATCTGTATATGTGCATGTTTCTGTGTCTATGTGCATGTGCGTGTGTGCATGTCTGTGTATATGCATGTGTATCTGTGTGTGCATATGTGGGTGTATCTGTGTCTATGTGCATATGCATGTGTGCATGTCTGTGTATATGCATGTGTATCTGTGTGTGCATATGTGGGTGTATCTGTGTCTATGTGCATATGCATGTGTGCATGTCTGTGTATATGCATGTGTATCTGTGTGTGCATATGTGGGTGTATCTGTGTCTATGTGCATATGCATGTGTGCATGTCTGTGCATATGCATGTGTATGTGTCTGCGCATATGCATGTGTCTGTGTGCATATGCATGTGTGTGTCTGTGTGCATATGCGTGTGTGTGTCTGTGTGCAGGCACACACATTCTGTCTTCCCTCACCAGACAGCGGCCGGCCACACAGATGTCAGGGGCCCCAGGCTGACACAGGGTCCCATCCTGGACCTTTTCGGTGTGACGAACATAGAAGCGGAAGCCACGGGGCCGGCAGTTCAGTTCACAGCGCTGGGAGCCCTGGACTAAGGGACAGGGTAGAAAGGTGGTTAGTAGGCTCCCTCGTGGGAGGTTAGTTGAGAGAGGCTCTGGGGGACACCCTGAGGTTGCCCAGGTCACCGTGGATGGAGGGAATGTGGCAACTGCACAAACTGAGAAGGTGGTCAGGTCAGTCGAGGCCACCGAGACCATCAAGGGGGCTCTGAACGGAGAGAAGCATCCCTGACGCCCATGATTCTGTGTGTTCAGAGCTCATGAGCGCTTGTCTTGGTGCCAATTAACACAGGCCTGCCAGGTGCCGTGGCTCACACCTGTCATCACAGCACTTTGGGAGGCTGAGCCGAGTGGGTCACAAAGTCAGGAGTTCAAGCCCAGCCTGGGTAATATGGTGAAGCCTGTCTCTACCAAAAAAAAAAAATACAAAAATTAGGCTGGGCGCAGTGGCTCACACCTATAATCCCAGCACTTTGGGAGGCCGAGGATCACTTTGGGTGGATCACAAGGTCAAGAGATCGAGACCATCCTGGTCAACAAGGTGAAACCCTCTCTCTACTAAAATACAAAAATTAGCTGGGCATGGTGGTGTGCGCCTGTAGTCCCAGCTACTCAGCAGGCTGAGGCAGGAGAATTGCTTGAACTCAGAAGGCGGAGGTTGCGGTGAGCCGAGATCGTGCCATTGCACTCCAGTCTGGGCAACAACAGCAAAACTCCGTCTCAAAAAAAAAAAATACAAAAATTAGCTGGGCGTGGTGGCACACACCTGTAGGCCCAGCTACTCAGGAGGCTGAGGCAGAAGAATCCCTTGAACCTAGGAGGCTGTGGTTACAGTGAGCCAAGATCGCACCGCTGCACTCCAGCCTGGGCAACAGAGGGAGACATGGTCTCAAAAAAAAGAAAAAAGAACATAGACCAAAAATGAGATGGATGATGGATGGTAACCCAGGAGCAACTGATACGATAGCGCCCAGGATGCGCAGCACACCCCCACCTGGCTATCACGGCTGGCGGGATCTCTCCCACCATGGCCCTCCTGCGTCACAGCCACCCGACTTCCGGTGATGACTTTCCCAGAGGAGTCAAAGTGTGCCTCCCACACCTCTTCCTCCCAGCCCAACCCCTCTGCAGACCATTCGCCACCTGTTCTGTCTCCTGACCCAGCCCCAGCGAGAAGAAGAAGGCACAGCCCTCAGGGGAAGCAGAGGGGCTGGAAGTCATTCCCGGCTGGGAGTAAGCAGGGGTCTCCTCTCCCCTCATCCCTAATTCCAAGCCACCACTGCCCAGGGTGGGCAAGAAACCTCACCTTCAGTGAAGGGCTCCCACTGGTACAGCTGGCCCATGAATTCCTGGGAGTCAAAGGCCGCGCACTGCAGGGCCCGGGGGTCTGGCTGCTCAGGGGGGCAGGGCTGCGGTGGGGGGTACAAAGGAGTCAGAGCTGGGGAGCAAAATGGGAGTAGGGTCAGGGCTGACCCTGGGGAGCAGCCAGGAGGCTCAGGCCAGTGGAAGAGCTCCAAGGCCCCTACCCTGATGTGGTCAGACGCCAAGGCCCTTCTCCCTCAGGTGCCCAGCAGACAAGCTGAGGACCCAGCTTCAGGGTGGGGAGGCCCACACTGGAGGCTGAGGTGGGAGAGGAGGTCCAGGGAGGCTCACCGCTTGGCTGCAGGCTCTCAGCTGCTCACTCTCACCAGAACATCTTGGGATAGGGCTACTGGGAGCGAAGAGGCTCCAGAGGGAGCTGGCTTGGGGGCCATTGGTCAGCAGGGGCAGCCAGCCGTCCCAGTGCTGGGGGTCAGGCTCCAGGTGAGGCCCGTGAGGAGTCCCCGCTGTTCTCCAAGGCCCTTGGCCCTGCTGGCCTCGGCTCCGAGGGACTGAAGGGAAAGGATTAGGGCGTCTCCCTGCTACCTGGGGACCAGCCCAACCCTGGGAACTTGGCCTTTGGGGCTGAGGGGATGCATGGAAAAAGCTACTTTCTCCTAAGGAGTGGGTGGGTGAGGGCAGCTCTGTGCCAGAGGCCTGGGCTCTGGGGTGGTGCCGTGGCAGGGCAGGCCTGGTTCCGGGGGGCTCTTCTGTCTCAGCAGTTTCAGGGCTTAGAGGTTCTGCTGGGGGGGATGGGAGAGGGAGCTCAGTCCGGGAGCTGCCATTTGAGGAGAATGCTGCTGCTCTTGGAGTCGGGGATGGAAGAGGCTCTTCCCCTCTAGAAGAGACCAGGTTCAGCTCAGATCTGGGCGGCCTGCGGGGATGCCTGCGGTCCCGGTGCAGTGGCAATGCAAAGGGCACTCTCCCATAACCGAACATTCCTGGCTTGATGGGGTCTCGAAGCCGGGACCTGAGAAGGTGTTTCAGATGTGGGGGCACAGCTCTGACCACCTCTGACCCTTGTCCCCACTTCACTTCCTGGCACCAAAGACACGCCCTCGGAAGCAACCTGTGCCCCCCTTTCCTTCATGTCACAAACCCACCTTGCCCAAGGCCCACCTCTTCCACCCAAGCCTCACCTCCTGGCCCCTCGAAGCTCCTGGGTCTCTTCTCTCCCTAGGCGGGAAGCGGGACCTCGAAGTGGGCCACCCCTTCCCCGAGACTGTGGCCTGTACAAGGGGAGGGTTTCTGGAGAAGCCTGGGGTCTGGGACCCTGTCCCCGGGGAAGGAGGGCTTCTGGATGTCTTGGGGGCCGGGGAGGGAGGGGCAGGCTTCTGCGGAGCTGCGATGTAGGGAGCTGACAGGTCCTGGTCCGGCGCTGCACCCCTACCCCGCAGGGCTGGGAGCAAGTTGCCCACTGGACCCAAGGTCCCCAGACACCTTCGGGGCCCTGGCCCTCCTCTGTGGGTGTCTGAAGCAAGTGTCCGGACAACATCTATGCAGAGAAAACGGTCAGACAGAAATGGAAGGATTAGAGGGAACTGTCCCGATCTGTCCTTCAACTAGAGAAAGGCTGAGACTCGTGGAGTCACTACCAGTCCAAGGTCACATTCGGTAGCAGAGGGAGGATGAGAATTCGGCCTCTTGGTGTCAGGAGGCAAGGAGGTGGGGAGTTGGCAGGGGAGGCAGGTGAGCTGTGGGCAATGGAGGCGTGGCCTGGGGAGGTTGGGTGGGAGCCTGGGGGAGACGAAAGGGTGGCAGGCTGAGCTCACCTCCTGATCCAGGCAGAGCTGAGGCAGGGACAGAAGCAGAAGCAGACACAGCCGGGGCCTGCAAACCAAAGACCAGGGGAGGGATGGCAGACTGGAGCCAGAAGGGGTGTTGCGACACCCGCACCCCCCTGCCCGCAGGCTCCCCACATCCTGACTACCAACTTCTCAGAAAGCAGAAGTTACTCATCACTTCTCCTGCCCCTCCCAGTGGTCCCCTTTCCCTCACTTCCAGGGACAGGGAAAGCCGTCCCAGTCCCCCCCCCATCCCCTTCTCTCACCTGCCCACCCAGTTCTCCATCGCTCCTCCCTCTGCTGCCCCAGGGCAAGGGAGGAGCAGACTGGTCACAAACACTACACAGGCATCTGGGCGTGGAGGGTGCTCTCTGCAGGGACAGAAGCCTGGCGGTTACCTCTCCAGTGTCCAGAGAGGATGGAGAAGGTGGTGAGACTTGCCCATCCCTTTATGAGCCTCAGCATGGGAACAGGGAGGATGGCTGCCTTTTCCATGTGTAGAGGCTACATGGTTGGGAGCTGACCTCAGCCTTCCAATTAAGGCCCAGTCCCCACCCCTGAGCCCTGTAGGGGGTTCTTAGCTCCTCCCCAAGTCCTACCTAGGGACTGTTTCTAGGCTAGCTCAGGCACACACAAAAGGCATTTTTTTTTTTGAGATGGAGATCTCACTCTGTCACCTAGGCTGAAGTGCAGTGGTGCCATCAAAGCTCATTGCAGCCTCAAACTCAGGCTCTCCTTCCTCCTCAGTCCTGAGTAGCTGGGACTGCAGGCGAGCACCACCAACGTCCAACTAATTTTTGTATTTTTGGTGGAGATGGGATCCAGCTAAATTGTACAGGCTGGGCTCGAACTCCTGGCCTCAAGGGCAAAGCGCTGGATGACAGGTGTGAGTTACCACACCTAGTTAGAGGGCTCCTTGTAGAATGGTTGTCATCGGTTCCCACCCCTGCCCTCCCAGATACCTAGAAAGCAGAGGAGGAAGGCCCCACTGAGGATGTGCAGACCCTCTCAGAGGAGCCACCAGAAGCGCCTTCCTTAGGTCTTCCAGAATCAGGACCCGCCCGGCCTGTGTCCTGCTTGCCTCCCGCTTTCTCTTCCCTCCTTAGATAAGCTCCTTACGGAAAGCACGTCTCAGACGCTTTTTGGCCAAGGGATAAGCTAAGTGGATTGATGGTTTAATCTCTAGAGAAGAAGCCGGCGATGTAACACCCCCGGGTGCCAGCATCCGGGTTGGTTCAGCGAGGATTTGCTTCCTGTGCAGCTCTACAGGCTGGGGAACCCGGGGGGAGAGGTGCAGCCTCGAGCCGAAGCCACAGGCCTCACATTCTGAAGAGCCGAGAAGTTCATCTGAAGTCCAGCTTTGAACACTGGAGAAGTGAGACTTGGAACCCTCCCCAGCCACAAAGCCTCACTCTCCTTGCCCCCTTCTCACTTTGAGTCCTTCCCACCCCTGCTCCTCACCCCACTCTTAGTTCTGCTTTCCAGGAAAAAAAAAAGCTGTTGCTGTTGGCTCTGAAAGGCACCCGAGAGAGGAATCCAGGGAGCCCTCACGTTGCTGAGGTGGGCCAGCTCTGGGGTGGAAAATGACCAAGAGAAGGGTAGGAATGTGCCTGGGAGCAGTCGCTTAGCCCCACTGCCCTCCCTGAGACCCAGGGCCTGGAATGTGAGGGAGGGGTCAGAGTGGCTGAGCCAGAGCCGCCTAATGGCTTCGGGTTGGGAAGGGGGTTGTGATGACCACTCCTTCCCCCGGCTGGGCTGGCCACTGAGGTCAGCATCTCCACCCTGACTGAATGGCAGAGGCCAGGGTCTCCAGAGAAGGGCCCATGTTCCACCCAAGTCTTCAACCTCTGCCTCTTACTCCAGCTGAGGGAAGAAGAAATGGGGTGATTTCACTGCCTGCCCCTTCTCTGATGCCAACCCCTCTCCATGCGCTCTCTGCCTCCCAGATTCCTTGTCGCTGCCCCTCTCCCCGGGTCTACCCAGTACACATAATCCCGTCCCGAGCTGGGTTTGGCTTTGGCAGTTCCCTGGAGAAGTGAGGGGTGGGGGTGACGTGAGCTCCCGGGGCCAGGGCCAGGCCTGGCTCCCTCTCTGGAAAAGTCCCACTCCACCCTCCCCTGTGCAGCCCAGCAGGGGCCCATGCCCCCTCCCCTGCCGAAACAGACACACATTTGTGCTTCTGACTCCTTTCCATGTCGCTCATCTGGTGTCACTCCTGGCCCAGGACAAGGACAGGAGAGGTCAGAGGTGGTCGCTCTGGTGCCAGGCTAGATCCTGGTCTGGACTAACGTTGGTTCCACCTGGCCACACCTCCCCACACTACCCAGTGAAGACCAAGGAAAGAGACCTGTTGAGGGCTCACCCTTTCACCCCGAGGGCTTCCCTCTGTGACATGGGGCACTTCTGGAGAAGGGTTGGACCCTGTGTTTCTGTCTGAGTGCCTCAATTCCCTGGTCCTCACACAGCCCTCCACTCCTGGGTCTGGGAGGCCACGCCAACAACTTTCTTTCCTGTCAGCCTCTTCTGCCATCAGGCTGAGCTGCATCAAGGGCACCCACCTGCGTCCCTCACGGCGACCCTGCTCCTCCAACTCAAGGAGCGCAGTGCGGGGCACAGCCTCCCAGAGCACCGTCCTGGGGGAAGGGCAGGAGGCTCCAGGCGCTCGTGGAGGTCGTGGGTCTGTTTTCCAACGTTACTATGTGACTTAGGGGAATTTTCGCTCACTCCCTGCACGTGTGATGGGGCCAGAGTTCCACGGGATCAGACCCCCTCCCCAGGAATTCGACCCCAGGGGCTGGAAGATGTCCGAGGCCACTGGAACTGGGGCCGGGGTCGTGGCAGGGGCGCGACCGCACAGCGCAGGGAGAAGGGGCGACGCGGTCGCGCGGGGCCGTTGGTCTAACGGGACCCGGGGAAGGGGCGGCCGGGGCGGGGTCCCGGGGAGGTCTCTACCTGCTTTGCGCGCCCCCGGCGGCCTGTTAACCCTTCTGCGCCCGGGCGCTCTCTCCCGGCAGCCTCGCTCCGCGGCGGCCACTGCGGCCCCTGAGCCGCGCTCCGGGCACCGCCGCCTCGGCCGCGACTCCGCCCCCTCGCCCGCCCCCGCCCCGCCCGCCACGCGCCCCGGCCCGCGCCCCTCGGCGGCCCCGGGGTGTGGACGGTCGGCTTTGCGGTCCGGCTCGCCAGGGCCACCCACCCCGGGCTGCGCGCCGGGCGCCCCCCGACGGCTGCAGTGGGGAGAAGCCCAGGCGGGCCCGGCCGGGGTCGGAGGCGGCCGTCGCTGCCGGGCGCTGTCCTCGTGCCCAGCTGGAACTCGGGACTTCAGCAGCCCGGGCCTCCGAGAGGCTCGGGTGGGCGGTGCGAGCGCGGCGCGGAACAGGCGGGGCAGCCTCCAGGGGCGCCAGGAGCCGGGCGGCCTGGGACAGCCGTGGGTCTGGGAGGGCGGCGCCCTGGACGGGGGTGCCCGCGGCCCCCGACCCGCGTGGGTGCAGGCTCTCTCCTCCCGCGGCCTCCCTGCGAGCTCAGTCACTCCTGCCTCTCCCGTGCTGGGCAGTGAACCCTGTGGTTCGGACTGCTGCGACCTCTGGGAGCTTCGGGTTTTTCCTCTGTAAAGTTTTGCACTCGGGACTTAGCGGAAGGACAGCGTGCTGACTTCTGGGTCAGGCTGACTTGCTCTGAACCTCAGCTCCGGCACTTGCCAGCTCTGTGGGCTTCGGTGAATACTTCCACCTCGGTGTGGTGCCGTTTGCTCAACTGCAAAGTGGGACTAATCTAATATGTATGATGGGCTTGGAGATGTCTCTATCCATTTACATCTGGAAGAATGCACTCCAAACTCAGAAGTATTGGTGGCGTCTGGGGAGCAGGGCAGGGTGGGGGGAAGAATGAAAACGGCTTTTGCTTTTTACTCTACGTGTTATGTTATTTTTATGAAATTTTTAACCACAAGAGTAATCCATCTATTGGTTATATTAAAAATTAATATATGGAAGCTGGGCGGAGTGGTGAAAGCCTGTAGTTCTAGCTATTCCGGAGGCTGAGGTGAGAGGTTCGCCTGAGCCCAGGAGCCTGAGGCTGCAGTGAATTACGATCGTGCCACACTGAGACAGAGAGAGACCGGGAATAATACCTCGTCTCAAAGATAAATGCATAAATAAAATATGTAAAATGGCTGGCATAGAGTAGATAATAAATGGTCACTGATTTTTTTTTTTTTTAGATGGAGTCTCCCTCTGTCGTCCAGGCTAGAGTACAGTGACGTGATCTCGGCTCACTGCAATCTCCGCCCCCCAGGTTAAAGCGATTCTCCTGCCTCGGCCTCCTAAGTAGTTGCGATTACAGGCGCCTGACATGGCGCTGGCTAATTTTTGTATTTTTAGTAGAGACGAGGTTTCATCATGTTGGTCCGGCTGGTCTCGAACTCCTGACCTCAGGTGATCAGCCCTCCTCGGCCTCCCAAAGTGCTGGGATTACCCACCTCGCCCAGCCTATTCAGTGTTTTAAAGGTTTTGTTTGTTTGTTGTTTTTAAGACAGGCTAATTTCAGACTCCTGGGCTCAAGCAATCCTCCTCCTTTGGGCTCCCAAAGTGCCGGGATTACAGGCCTGAGACACCGGGTCTGACCTAAAGGTGTATATATATATATTTTTAATAACTTGTCAATACCTGTTTTAATACCTGGATATTTTAAAATCTCTTTTGAAAAACTAAAACACAAAAATAGAAGCTCTAACATTGTCCTGCATCCTCACAAAATAGCAGATGTCTTTGGTTCCCCGAACTGTCATTTCTTGGGCACCTTTTGCACATGGTATTGAGGGCGAAGCAAGAAGACAGTCTCTGGCCTGAAGGAGTTGGATCTGATCAGACACTGCAGCTAATGGGGTCATGGGAAGGTTAATACTGGGCTCAGCTGAAGCAGATGTTATCTCTAAGAAGATGATGGATATGAAAATATAAAATGCTTTGAAAATGTAAGAATTGGGCCGGGTGTGGTGGCTCATGCCTGTAATCCCAACACCTGGGGGCCAAGGTGGGTGGATCACCTGAGGTCAGGAGTGTGAGACCAGCTTGGCCAACATGGCGAAACCCCGTCTCGACTAAAAACACAAAAATTAGCCAGGTGTCCTGGCACACACGCCTGTAATCCCAGCTGAGACAGGGAGAACTGCCTGAACCAGGGAGGTGGAGGTTACAGTGAGCTGAGATGGTGCCACTGTACTCTAGCCTGGGTAACAGAGCAAGACTCTGTCTCAAAAATAAATAAATAAATAAAATGAATTTCCTGCAGAGTACTCTAGGGAAAAAATTAATTAATAAATAAATAAAATAAATGTAAGAACTGTGTCCTGAGCTGGGCATAATCGCAGGCACCTATAGTCCCAGCAATTCTGGAGGCTGAGGTAGGACGATCACTTGAGGCCAGGAGTTCAAGTCCAGCCTGGGCAATATGGCCAGACTCCATCTCTAAAAAAGAAAAAAGAAAGGAGACAAAGAATTTTTTCATTATTTGAAATTTAACATGCATTTTTTCTTTCTTAAATCCCTAATTTCTTTTAGGACAAAGTACTATTTATGTTACTTTGTATCATCTACAGTTTTTTGTATTTTATATTCGAGGTTTTTTTTTTTTTTTTTGTATTTGTAATTAAATATTTGGGCCAGGCGCGGTGGCTCACGGCTGTAATCCCAGCACTTTGGGAGGCTGAGGCGGGTGGATCACGAGGTCGACAGATCGAGACCATCCTGGGCAACATGGTGAAACCCCGTCTCTACTAAAAATACAAAAAATTAGCCGGACATGGTGGCGCGTGCCTGTAATCCCAGCTGCTAGGGAGGCTGAGGCAGGAGAATTGCCTCAACACAGGGGGTGGAGGTTGCGGTGAGCCGAGATCGCGCCTTTGCACTCCAGCCTGGGTAACAAGAGTGAAACTCCGTCTCAAAAAAAAAAAAAGAAAAGAAAAGAAATATTTGAATTGGAATGTTGCAAAACAGACACGTGAGTCCCAGGTGCCCAGCCTGCTCTCCCGATGTTTCCACTGTGTGGGGTGGCCCAGGAGCCGGCAGGGAAGCTGAGGACACCTGGGGCCTCTGTGACTTTGAGGGGATGCAGGACAGGACTGCTAGAGCCTCCAGGTTTGTGTTTTGTTTTTCAAGAGAAGTTATAAAACACCCTGGCTTGAAAATATTGATAGGTCACTGAAAACAACAACAGTAACTTGAAAACATGAAGTACACCATGAAACATGACGTGGGTCAGATTGACCTGCGCCTCTGGGAGGTGCCTCTCCTCTTCCTCCATCCCAGTCCTGAGTTCCTACATGGCTTGGGAAGATAAAGGGTTAATGTCCCTCCCAGAGGGGTGGTTTATCCAGGCCTCCCCGACACTGTCCTAACCTTGAGGCATATTTATAGTGCTAGCTTTGAAGGGAAAGCCCCTTTGCCCAGACCTCAGAGTATGATCCAGATGATGAGAAGCCCAGCCTTCCCAGCAGAGGAAGATATTTTAAGCCAGGGACCCTTTAGGACTGGTCCAGTCACACCCCATCAGCATTCACTTATCTACAGGAGGGAAGCTGCAGGACAGGGGCGTGGGAAGGGAGCCTGGGAGGAGAGAAAAGGTCTGCCTTTGATATTTGTAACTGCTGGGAACTGAAGGTCAGAAATAGTCCTTTCTACTAAGATGGCTGCCGACCAAAGAGCTCATGAGATTTGGCTGCTGTCACCTCTCATGGCTCGGGGGTCCGAAAATATGGTATACAGAAGAGTTTCCTATGCCTCAGCAGCTTGTGAAATATTAAGTTTGTGAACACTGTCTCCAGGATAAAAAGAAGTTTTTAGGGCGGGGCGCGGTGTCTCATGCCAGTAATCCCAGCACTTTGGGAGGGTCAGGTGGGTGGATTGCTTGAGTCCAGGCGTTTGACACCAGCCTGTACAACATAGGAAGACCTTGTCTCAAAAATAAACAAATAAATACATTTTTTAAAGTTTTTTAAAAGATTATGTATTAAGTAGATGTTCATCCGGCCTGTAATCCCAGCACTTTGGGAGACCGAAGTGGGCAGATCGCTTGAGGTTGTCAGAAGTTTGAGACCAGTCTGGCAAACACGGTGAAACCCCATCTCTACTAAAAATACAAAAAAATGCACCAGGTGTGGTGGCACTTGCCTGTAATCCCAGCTACTCAGGAGGCTGAGGCAGGAGAATTGTTTGAACCCAGGAGGTAGAACTTGCAGTGAGCTGAGATGGCGCCTGGGCGACGGAGCAAGACTCGGTCTCAAAAAAAAGTAGATGTTCATCCAAAATTTTCTCTAGGCCGGGCGCGGTGGCTCATGCCTGTAGTCCCAGCACTTTGGGAGGCCGAGGCGGGTGGATCACGAGGTCAAGAGATCGAGACCATCCTGGTCAACATGGTGAAACCCCGTCTCTACTAAAAATACAAAAAATTAGCTGGGCATGGTGGCGCACGCCTGTAATCCCAGCTACTCAGGAGGCTGAGGCAGGAGAATTGCCTGAACCCAGGAGGCAGAGGTTGCGGTGAGCCGAGATCGCGCCATTGCACTCC